GCTTGTTCCAATTCTCTTTCTCAGAAGACAAATATAGACTTTTTGGGGGGCAACAGATATCAGGACACTGAACCATGTTCTGGTGGAGCCAAGAAAAAAAAACACCATTAGTTCATAGGAAGAACAATAAACTGAGATAGACAAACAGACAGGCAGATGGAGTAAGATACACACACACAAACACACATATAGAGAGAGTAGATTGGATTAGCCGTATTAGTTCAGCAGACAAGATGCCAAAATCCCAAAGTATTGCAGTATGCAATGATACCTTTTTATTGGACTAACATATTTCAAAGACAAGCTTATGAGAGTTTTCCTCTCTTCCTCAGGTCTGAAGCAATTCAGATCAATCTGATAGAGTTTGTAATGGCACCTTAAGCATAAAAGGGTTAAACCGCCGTTTAGAAGATCTTCCCCTTCCAGAGATACAGGCACAGCTACTGCAGAACACCAAACTCCCGAACCGCATATAAGGGAATGCTCTAAACTCCCGAACTGGATACAAAATAGCACTCCAAACTCCGGAACCTCACGAATAGCTGCTAGCAGACGAATAGGAAAAGCACCCAAGCGGCTTACACCCGTAGCAATCAGTCTCTATCAGCATACAGTAAATCCCCCCAAAGACGAGACAAGGCTCCGTGTTGGGGGTCAAGCAGTGGTCTGTTTAATGAGGGCTACCTGCCCAGTATTTATGCAGGTCTCCCACCTGGTGGACACTCCCCTAGGGGACCAAATGAGAGACGGGGACACAAATAGTACAATGACCAATCACAGGCAGACATGGTTAAAACACTCCCCCAATACATTACAATCCCTCCCCTCTATCCTGGAGATAATTGGGAAGTAATCCAATTATCTCCAAGGACAGAGGCAAAACTCCAATACCCACATGGTTACAGTAAAATACTAAAACACAATAAAATACACAATATTACATTTATCACACAAAATATATACTTGCAACCCATCCCCAGATAGCTGGGATCTGAGCACACAAAAGTACCGAATAGCGCTCAGATCCTAAGTACACAGTCCAATTGCCGTGGAGTCAAAGTGTTCACAAAGTCTGTTCTCCATACGAATAGACTCCACAGGATGGCTATCTGGGGTATGGTGTATTCAGGTACAAACTATCGAATATAGAGCCATTCGTGCACTTCTACCAAACAAGAAGGGAGATCGACGGCTTCAGCGGTGTTCGCGCCAAAATGTATCCGTTTTCGGTTCTATGAGTTGGGCATCGAACACCGCTGTGCGTTCGCGTGTTTAAAATGGCCGCGACCTCGTGCTCGGTATACAAATGGCGGCCACCCAGCATTCGTCAATTAAGCTGCAGTTAACCGCAGCTTCTGGGAGGTTAATTGCCGACACACTCCAGCTCCCAGGTGGTCCAGTCATTCGTGTGTTAGTTCGGCAGATTGAATCTACCGAACACCAGGCAGAAAGGCACAAATAAGCCTTTTCTGCAGGGGAAAAAAGGCTTTTAACATGGGGCCATAATCCAAAGACAACAGGCGCGCAACCAGGCTTCTCCAATGCAATGTGGCGAGATTGGTCTCGTCACATCTCTCCCCTTTTCCAAACAGACTAACAGGGTATCTGACCTCCTGCCGGTCAGTGCCCTTGTTAGTCCAGCAGCCCACACACAACACACAATCAGTAGTATAGCCCACCCAATAAATGGTTACTACACCTGGGTAGAGGAGAACTTTGTCCAGGTCCAGGTGCCTCACCACGGCTGTGTGGGTGACTGGTAAGCTGACTTGGTGGGTTGCTGAGTGGGCAGAGACCAGCGTACTCTGCCCTGGTGCCAGCGCTACCACGGGAGTAACCTGGTTGGAGCCTGGTTGGTGGAGGGGGAGACCGACTGTCTCCCATTTGGATACACAGCTCTGCTGCCGGAGGGGGAGACCGACTGTCTCCCCTTTGCATACACAGCTCTGCTGCCGGAGGGGGAGACAGACTGTCTCCCCTTTGGCTAAACAGCCCTGTCGCTGGGGGGCAGAACTGACCGTCCCTACCCCTTGTGCTGTAAATGCAGAGACCACGGTCCCATCTGCACAGTTGTGGGGCTTACTGTCTCCCCCTGGTACATTAAGCTGCGTCTGGGGAGAGGGGGTAATAAGCTCCTCTCCCATACATACTTCCAGCCGCGGGGGAGGGAGACCGACTGTCTCTGCTCCCAATACAGAGTCCTGCTGCTGGGGAAAGGAGACTGACCTCTCTATTCCCTGTAGGACACTCTGCCGCTGGGGAATGGAGACTGGCTCCCAATTCCCAATAAATCATACTGCCGCTGGGGAATGGAGCTTGGGTTCCATTCTGCTGTATCTCCCGCTGGGGAATGGAGCTTGGGCTCCCAATTCCCTGCAATTCACTCTGCTGCTGGGGGACAGGAGCAACTATCTCTGTCCCCTGTAACTCAGCCTGCCGCTGGGGAATGGAGCTTGGGCTCCCAATTCCCTGCAATTCACTCCACTGCTGGGGGACAGAACAACTATCTCTGTCCCCTGTAACTCAGCCTGCCGCTGGGGAATGGAGCTTGGGCTCCCAATTCCCTGCAATTCACTCCGCTGCTGGGGGACAGAAGCAACTATCTCTGTCCCCTGTAACTCAGCCTGCCGCTGGGGAATGGAGCTTGGGCTCCCAATTCCCAATAAATCACACTGCCGCTGGGGAATGCAGACTGTGCTCTTCTCTTCCCGTAACTGTATCTGCCGCTGGAGTTCCTCCCAACGTGCCAGCTGGCCCTCTCTCTCTGCCCTGTCTAGCAGAGTCGTGAACACTGAGTTCCTCATGAACCGCACAGATCTCTCCAGTGGATTGGGTCCCAAGAAGCTTAACCGGAACCACACCATACGGTCATACTCTCTCAGAGAGTATCTGTACTCCACTGCTGGTTCCATCCTGGTGCTGTCAGGGTCGCTGTACTCAAGACATATGTTGCCCTCAATTTGTAAAATCCAAAGAAATGGTGTCTCCTGTAGCTGTCCTTCTGGCTGTAGGAACGATCCCGCCGCTTGCCACCAATTATAACGGCACCCTCAGCATAAAAGGGTTAAACCGCCATTTAGAAGATCTTCCCCTTCCAGATATACAGACACAGCTACTGCAGAACACCAAACTCCCGAACTGCATATAAGGGAACACTCTAAACTCCCGAACTGGATACAAAATAGCACTCCAAACTCCCGAACTGGAACCTCTGGAATAGCTGCTAGCAGACGAATAGGAAAAGCACCCAAGCGGCTTACACTCCTAGCAATCAGTCTCTATCAGCATACAGTAAATGCCCCCAAAGACAAGACAAGGCTCCATGTTGAGGGTCAAGCAGTGGTCTGTTTAATGAGGGCTACCTGCCCAGTATTTATGCAGGTCTCCCATCTGGTGGACACTCCCCTAGGTGACCAAATGGGAGACTGGGACACAAATAGTACAATGACCAACACAGGCAGACATGGTTAAAACACTCCCCCAATACATTACAATCCCTCCCCTCTATCCTGGAGATAATTGGGAAGTAATCCAATTATCTCCAAGGACAGAGGCAAAACTCCATTAACCACATGGTTACAGTAAAATACTAAAACACAATAAAATACACAATATTACATTTATCACACAAAATATATACTTGCAACCCATCCCCAGATAGCTGGGAACTGAGCGCACAAAAGTACCGAATAGCGCTCAGTCCAATCGCAGTGGCGTCAAAGTGTTCACAAAGTCTGTTCTCCATACAAATAGACTCCACAGGATGGCTATCTGGGGTATGGTGTATTCAGGTACAAACTATCGAATATAGGGCCGTTCGTGCACTTCTACCGAACAAGAAGGAAGGTCGGCGGCTTCAGTGGTGTTCGCGCCAAAATGTATCCGTTTTCAGTTCCATGATTTGGACGTCGAACACCGCTGTGCATTCGCGTGTTTAAAATGGCCGTGACCTCGTGTTCAGTATACGAATGGCGGCCACCCAGCATTCATCAATTAAGCTGCGGTTAACCGCAGCTTCTGGGAGGTTAATTGTCGACACACTCCAGCTCCCAGGTGGTCCAGTCATTGATGTGTTAGTTCGGTAGATTAATTCTACCGAACACCGGGCAGAAAGGCATGAGTAAGCCTTTTCTGCAGAGGAAAAAGAAGGCTTTTAACATGGGGCCATAATCCAAAAGCAACAGGCGAGCAACCAGGCTTCTCCAATGCAATGTGGCGAGATTGGTCTCGTCACAGAGTTAAACACTTAAAACAACTGATGTTAAAGAAGGGGGGTGAGTGGGGTGTCATAAATAGCAGAAGATGTGCCTGAAAGTGAAAGGTGCAGGTTGGCTGAATATAGCCAGAAAAAGTAAATAAACAGAGAAAAGTCAATAAGCTAGTTAAAAAAACAAACCAAATAAAACCAAGAAAACAACGGAGCAGGGCATGCAAGTAAATAGCTGCATATATGTATGCATTTAAATTGATCTAATAAAGGTGACGCGAGAATATTGAAAAATAACCATATAAGACATTAAGATGTGAGTTTATTTACAGTTTTGGTAGTGTGTGAGAAAGCCAGAGTCTACATTAAGTCCTTCATTTCTGGTGTTGAAATGAGTGATCATTTTCATTTCAAATGTCTTTAAAACTCCCTTTAAGAACTTTAATTCTGAGTTTTTGGATGGAGTGACCAGTCTGGGTGAAGTGATGACCAACAGGGGCCCAATACAATTTTCCTTGTGGTTCTTGATTGAGTGTCTCTGTTCGTTCATTCTGAGATGCAGCTTAAGGCTAGTTTTTCCAATGTAGTATCATGTACACCACATTCGCAGATGTACACGAATATGATCCCTTAATGTTGTATGATTTGTTATTGTGTCTGTCTGTGTTATTGCCACATATATGTTGACATAGTTTGCAGAGTGATTTGTTGCATCGTACAGTGCCATTCTGTGTGAGAGTTGTACAGTGCCATTCTGTGTGAGCGTCGTACAGTGCCATTCTGTGTGAGCTTTCTACAGTGCCATTCTGTGTGAGCTTTCTACAGTGCCATTCTGTGTGATCATCGTACAGTTCCATTCTGTGTGAGCTTCGTACAGTGCCATTCTGTATGAGCCTCGTACAGTGCCATTCTGTGTCCATCGTACAGTGCCATTCTGTGTGATCATTGTACAGTGCCATTCTGTGTGCGGGTCGTACAGTGCCATTCTGTGTGAGCTTCCTACAGTGCCATTCTGTGTGATCATCGTACAGTGCCATTCTGTGTGAGCTTCGTACAGTGCCATTCTGTGTGAGCCTCGTACAGTGACATTCTGTGTCCATCGTACAGAGCCATTCTGTGTGATCATCATACAGTGCCATTCTGTGTGAGCTTTGTACAGTGCCATTCTGTATGAGCCTCGTACAGTGACATTCTGTGTCCATCGTACAGTGCCATTCTGTGTGAGCTTTGTACAGTGCCATTCTGTGTGAGCCTCGTACAGTGCCATTCTGTGTCCATCGTACAGTGCCATTCTGTGTCCATCGTACAGTGCCATTCTGTGTGAGCCTCGTACAGTGCCATTCTGTGTCCATCGTACAGTCCATTCTGTGTGAGCTCCTGTTCTGTGGTCAATTTGCTGCGGACCAATCTCTGTCTCAGGTTGGGCGGTTGTTTGAATGCTAGTATGGTGGAAATATTTCTTTGAGTGTGGGATCCTCTGAAATTAATGGTTGTAGCTCTTTAATAAGGTGACATACTCCTTCTTGAGTTGGGTTGTAAGTAACTACTAGAGGGATTCTTATTTTGTTTTACTTTCCTTTATATTGTAGGAGCCTTTCCCGTGGTGTTTTTAGCGCAGATTTAATTTTTTTAGCTATTGTCCTTTCCTTGTAGCCCGTTTGCCTAAATAACTCTGACATCTCTGTCTTTTGTGTCAATGCAGTGATATCTGATAGCCTGGCTGTAGATGATACCTTGTTTGGTGTGATTGCGATGGAAGCTGGAATTGTGGAGGTAGCTGTACCTGTCTGTGGGATTTCTATATACAGACGAATGAAGAATGCCATTGGTGACAGTTATTGTGCATTCCAAGAAACTCACATTATGATTTGAGAAGTTCATTTTAAGGTTTATTGACGGGTGGAATGAACTGAATGATTTATGGAAGTCTATAAGGCTTTCTTCTCCTTCTGTTCATATTATGAAAATATCATCGATGTAAAAATAATATGTATTTGGTTTGTGGGGCTGTGTACATAAAAATCTGTTTTCTAGGTCAGACGTGAAAAGATTAGCGTATTGGGGTGACATTTTTGTGCCCGTCGCTGTCCCTGTCCTTTGTAGGTAATTATTGTTATTAAAACTGAAATAGTTGTGTGAGAGTATGAATTCTATAAGCTGGCCAATAATTGCGCTATCATATTTGTGTGTTGGTTTGTGGGATGAGCGAAATCTAATGCAGGCCTCAATACCATCCTTATGTGGGATGTTACTGTATAAGGATTCCACACCCAGTGTTACTAGTATAGTGTTTTCAGGTAGTGATTTATCTGGTCAAGTTTATCGAGGAAGTCTGTGGTGTCCTGTATAAAGCTCTCAGTCTTAATAACTAAGGGCTTAAGAATGTTTTCTATTAGGCCAGATATTTGTTCAGTGAGTGGTTCCATACCTGTTATAATGGGCCGTCCTGGGTTTATGATACCCCACTCACTCCCCTTCTTTAACATCAGTTGTTTTAAGTGTTAAACTCTACCAGATTGATCAGTATTGCTTCAGACCTGAAGAAGAGATGGAAACTCTCAAAAGCTTGTCTTTGAAATATTTTGTTAGTTCAATAAAAAAGGTATCATTGCATACTGCAATACTCTGGGATTTTGGCATCTTATATATTTTATTATTATTATTATATTATTTATATAGCGCCATCAAATTCCGCAGCGCTTTACAATGGGTGGACGAACAGACATGTAGTTGTTACCAGACAAGTTGGACACACGGGAACAGAGGGGTTGAGGGCCCTGCTCAATGAGCTTACATGCTAGAGGGAGTGGGGTAAAATGACACAAAAAGGTAAGGATAGTATTAGACTGGTGACAGTTGCAGAAGAGGAATCAGTCAGGAGCTATTAACAGTTTAATTGATACGCTTTTATGAAGAAGTGTTTTTTTTCACGATTTTTTGAAGGAGTGGAGACTGGGTGAGCATCTAACGGAGGAGGGAAGTGAGTTCCACAGGAACAGTGTAGCCCTCGAGAAATCTTGAAGGCGAGCATCGGAGGTGGGAGTACGGACAGAAGATAGACGTAAGTCTCCAGCAGATCGTAAGGGCCTAGACGGGACATACTTGTGTATAAGGGAGGATAGATAGGTGGGAGCAGCATTATGTAGCGATTTGAAAACAAGAACCAGAATTTTTAATTGAGCTCTATATTTTATAGGAAGCCAATGTAGGGACTGACAGAAGGGTGAGGCATGGGAGGTGAGGGCGGACGGGAAGATGAGCCTCACCGCCGCATTCATTATGGACTGTAACGGCGCAAGTTGGGAGCACGTAAGACCACTTTTATATATAGAGAGAGAGAGAAATAGATAGACAGACAGACAGACAGATAGAAAGACAGACAGACAGACAGATAGGTAGATAGACAGACAGACAGACAGAGAGATCGATATTGTCAAAAGTAGATCTTTTCTTGGTTAAGTAAGAATGTGTCTTGTTATTGGGGACATTAATCTTAGTGTTCTGAAGCTGGATCTATACTCGCAAGGTGAAATTAAGTGAGATTGAAGGTAAGTGCGACAAGTCTTTTATTCAGCAGGTGAAAAGTTAGTGACATTGTCAGCATTGCAGTTAGAGGGATCAGTCGGTGTGAATCTCGGTCTACGAGGAACTCAGAGCTGAGCTTTCACCCAGACTGAGGGAAGTGCTGATCGTAGGAACCTGCCTGTCCCCTTCAGGTGTATCTTCGCATCCCTCAGTCCTCCACTTAAATTATTGTGACATGTCTCTTCTTTCCAAGAAAAATGAAAGACTTGATATTTCTGGTATTCTGTAGGTGTAACACTACAACCATGTGCTAACACTTCAAATTAAACCGCACTGTTTTACAAGATTCCCCCACGGTCTTTACTTTTGCATTTTTCTGCTAAGCATCATAAAAGTGTTATTCCAGTGTACAAGACTACGTGAATGAAAGAAAGAGAAAATGGTGAACTATGAGGACCGAGATGTGCTCTAAACACAAAGGGATGCCAGCTTACTACCAGACTGGAAGGTAAATGAAAAATAAATACATTTTATTGATTAAAATAACAATGTGAAAAAAACCTTTTAAACATGGTGTTAGTGTTCATGTAAAATGCATAAAAAAACTGGTTTTCAATAAGCAGGTAGATAGTATCGTCTAATGTTCATCAAAGCCAGGGCCGGCCTTAGGGGTGTGCGAGCTGTGCGACCGCACAGGGCGCCATGGAACAGGGGGCGCCCTGTGGCCGACACAGCTCACTCATGGCCGGAGTGCAGGGGAGCTAAAAGAGGTACCTGGCTGGAGGATTAATTATTCTCCACCCGGGTCTATTTAAAAAAAAAAAAAAAATTGCGGCAGAGGGGGCGGGGTTTACCGAGCGGCGGAGGCGGGGCTTATCGAGAGGCGGAGACGGGGCTAATACCTCCCGAAGCCCCTGCTGTACAGGAAGAGGGAAAGATGCTTCCCCATCAGCCAACTGCATCCACTGGAAAGAGGTAAGTGTGTGTGTGTGACTGTTTGCCTGTTTGTGTGACTGTCTGTCTGTGTGTGTGTGTGTGTGTGTGTGTGTGTGTGTGTGTGTGACTGTCTGTGTGACTGCCTGTCCTTGTGTGTGTGTGTGTGTGTGTGACTGTCTGTCTCTGTGTGTGTGTGTGACTGTCTCTGTGTGTGACTGCCTGCCTGTGTGTGACTGTCTGTGTGTGTGACTGTCTGTCTGTGTGACTGCCCATGTATGTGACTGCCTGTGTGTGTGACTGTCTGTCTGTGTGACTGCCTGTGTGTGTGACTGTCTGTCTGTGTGTGTGACTGTCTGTCTGTGTGTGTGACTGCCTGTGTGTGTGACTGCCTGTATGTGACTGCCTGCCTGTGTGTGTGTCTGTCTGTAACTATCTGTCTGTGTGTGACTGCCTGCCTGTGTGTGTGACTTTCTATCTGTGTGACTGCCTGCCTGTGTGTGTATAACTGTCTATGTGTGTGTTACTGTGTGTCTGTCTGTGTGTGTGACTGCCTATGTGACTGTCTGTCTGTGTGTGTCGCTGTAGCTGTGCCATTGTTTGTGCCTGTGCCTGTATGTGTGACTGCCTTTAACTGAGTGTGTGTGTACATGCCTGTAACCGAGTTTAAATTTCCCCCACCCCTTCCTGTCAAGGCCGCACTTTGACTGACAGACGCTCACTCACTGACAGACGCACACTCACTGACGACACATACACACTCACTGACGACACATACACACTCACTGACTGACACATACACACTATACACTACTGACCAACACACACATTCACTCACAGACACACACACATTCACTTACAGACACACACAATTACACACTTACAGACACACACACACACATTCACTTCAAAATAAACACTCACAGACACACACACAGACATTTCCACTAACACTCACAAACTAATATTTTTTACATTTATTTTAAATCCACCCAGCCTCCTGGGAAAGCTGGAGTGGATTTCTTACCAGCAGTCCAGTGTGGCTGCTGGGCAGGCAGGCAGGGGGCGCACAGGCTGAGTAAGCAGCGCTTAGTGATGCCGGGAGCCGGACTGACGTCATATTCTGGCTCCCGGCTTCATTAAGCGGCGCAGAGGAAGCTGAGCAGGAAGAGCTCAGGTGAGTATGCTCCTTCGCTGCCCGCTGCCAGCCTTGGGGGGGCTCAAAAGTGGCCAGCCAGTCAGCTCTTGAGCCCCCCAGGATGTGAGGCAAGCAAGGGATCTGCCTGGGGGTTTGGAGGGATGCTTTTTTTTGCCGCCCCCTGCAAAGTGGCGCCCAAGGCAGATGCCTTGTTTGCCTCGTGATACACACGTCCCCGGTGCCTGTGTGTGTTACTGTATTCAGGCAACTTGGTGGGAGGTGGGGGGGCGCCGTGAAGACTTTTTGCACAGGGCGCCTAATTGCCTAAGGCCGGCCCTGATCAAAGCGTATGGTGACACAATGTTTCGCTATACTAGTCATAACCAATTAGCTGCGTATTGAACTGCCCGTGTAGGGACCAAAGTATGTAAAGACTCAGAGGAAATTAAAGTCTAAATATATATATATATAAGGGGGAGTCAATATATATAGAATTAAATATGGAAACTAGCCGCAGTAAGTAAGTTCTAGGGGAAGTGCTCAGTAATAGTATCTAAATTGCTCGAGGATAATTAGAGTAGAGGGAGAGGTGAAAACTGCCACACCATTACCTTAACAGGGCTAAATACAAAGTCAGTGCGTAATAAGGGGTAAACATTAACAGTGAGTGGGATAAATTTGTCTTTCCGTTATGTATACCACACTGCACTATAAACCCCGTGTGTCCACTAGTTATACTGCGTTATCGGGAGCATAATCGCTCATAATAGTGAAAAAGTAAATACAGCGGTATAAAGTACGTCTGCTGTCTATGAGTGCAGAAGTACCCTAAATAACCAGGAATCTAATGTTCAAGTGAATAATATGGAGGATAAAGCACGAATAAATAAGGCTATCTGTGGATAGTACGTTCCATTGTCAATAAAGGAACAGCGTGGTTAACTAATGCGGTGTAAATGTCACTCGTGCCTGCCTATGTACTTAGTAAAACGCTCCCCTATGTAACATAGCGCAGTCAAATAGCAGAGATTCGTCCTCAAATATTAAACTGCACTCACTGAAATCTTTCTCCATGCCTTTGAGGGCACCTAACACCATCCCCATTCAAAGCCAATATTACTTAGTCCCTACAGAGGAGAGCAACATCACTCAAATATTAAATGAAATAAGATCAGCATGTTGGCCGGTCCATGTGCTGTCAGTGATTGCAAAGGGACAGCACTAGCAGGACCCCTGACGTGCGTGTTTCGCCCGACCTGGCTCGTCAGACTTGTGTACAAGACTAGGATAAATTCCTGAATAAATACATTTTATATATTAATTGTATCGGGGAACAAAGCATAACTGAGACCAAAAGAGTTTTAAAGCAGGTAACTAAGACCTGTAAAAATAAAATTATATTTTATATTTAATCTTCCTGTCTATAAATATCTATCTATCTATCTATCTATCTATCTATCTATCTACTGTTGGTTTGTCCATCTATGTGTCTCTCTCTCTCTGTCTATCTGCTGTCTGTCTGTTTCTCTATCTGTCTGTCTGTCTGCTGTCTGTCCATCTATGTGTCTCTATGTCTGTCTATCTTCTGTCTGTCTGTCTGTCTCTCTGCCTATGTAGAAACATGGGCAGCACTCCAGGATAATGAAGGTAAGTTTATTCATGGGTTCACCACCTTACCAAAAACAAGTGCGACGTTTCGGCTCCACAGAGCCTTAATCATGCATGATTAAAGGACCACTATAGGCATCCAGACCACTTCAGCTCAATGAAGTGGTCCGGGTGCCAGGTTCCCCTAGTTTTAACCCTGCCTGCTGTAAACATGTTTCAGAGAAACTGTTATGTTTACACTGAGGGTTAATCCAGCCTCTAGTGGCTGTCTCATTGACAGCCGATAGAGGCACTTCCGCGCTTCTCACTGTGAAAATCACCAAATTAGACCTCACATTAGACCTCAGCAATGTGAGGTCTAATTCATTTATTATATAACCAGACTCTGCTCCATGTTTAAATTGTTATATTGTATGGAATTTATTGCTCATTCAAACGTTTACACTACAATTCACCCACTGCCTGGTGATGAAGACCTTGCTATTTTACCTTTACCTAATCCATTCAATTGGTATTTCTATGTTTTGTTGTTTGTAACCATTTTTTTATTTTTTTTTTATTTTTAATTTTTTGAATCCTAATAAATTCTTTAACAAATTAGGATAAATAAACAAAAATGTAAAAAAACACCCAGTTTTCTCCTAAAACACAGTTATCGCACAACGGATCAGTTAATAAAAAGCCACAGTGATTTATTTCTCTTATTGGGTTTTTGGTGAGGGTATGTGAGATGTTTAGTGTACGGAAGCCTATAATGTATCCTGTGCTGGCCGGGCACAGATAAATATTTAATTTCTGCTTAAATGGCCGCACTCTCGCTGACTCCCCTTACAATACACACTCCACACAAGGGTCCTCTCTCCGTCTCTCCATTGACTTGATGATGAATGGTAAATACTTCACCCTTTTCATTTTCTGGACATGACGTCAGCTTCGCTTATTGTTAAGTTATGGTCCTATTCAGTTACAATAATGAACCGCACCCATGTGTAGCTCCGCAGCCCTCTTACACGGTTTGCACAAAGTATGGCGTGGCTGCAGGTGGTCTGTCCTACACAAAGACCCATGGTTGTGGTGCAGAGTTCAGCAATACAGCTTCCAGGCGTAACTCCATCTCCTGCAAACTGAGAAAGTAAAGACGGCTAAATTCTATATTGACCCCATAAATGAAACCGCCAGCTTGTAGCAACTTGTTCTGCTCAATACTGCTGGGTTCAGATGGACGATCACAGTCTGTGGATTCCCCCCCTCCACCACTGAGAATTATTTTTATTTTGTAAACTCTGACCAACAAAGAGTCTACCAGTAACAAGAGTCAATTTAATGCAGGGCAGTGAATTCCGTGAAACATGCTAAGTGTCTCCAGGATAAATAAAATAAGACATTAAATAGAGAGTGTGATACATTCTCTTGTTTGCTGCCCTGGAAGACACTTAGAAAGACTTTATCGAACGTCTTTCTTCTCATTCAAACCAGAATATGCGCTGTGATGGCATGTAGTGAATAATGCACATATTGAAAATCTGTAACATTGTGCAACTGCACTGTTGGTTTATTAAACAGACCATTCCAGTATTTTACACTGGTCTAAGTTTATTAAATGTCTGTTACATTATTTACATTTATCTTTTGAGATATTTTTAACATTTGTGCGTTGAATTAGGCTACTGATTATATATAAAGGAATTGATTGGTTAAACCAACAAGTCTTAATCTTACTGTTTTAATAATAGTTTATTAACAATAATCCGTGTCCTTGGGAGCCTTGATAACTGTAACTCCAGAATAAAAGAAGTACTTATCTGCTAATTCTGCCATCTGTGAAGTCTCTCTCTTCCCTAGATTCTAAAGCTTGATATTTGTGGCAGAGATTCAGCATAGCGTGTGCACAGGGTCAAAAGAACTTTAAACATTCGGTCAACTATCGCTAGTCATTAGTTATATAGTTAACTGTTTGGTGCCATCACGATTTGACACAATGACATATTGATTTAAGACAATACAGTCTGGTTTGGTCATATTTCATTTTGGACTATAAATTCTGGCTGGCTGAGTCTCACACCAGTTGGTAGCCAAGGCTGCCTCCCCCTACCAATTTTATAAGATAGAGTTGTACACAGCATTCCTACCAATTCAAATTACAATAGTATAATTGTAATATTTACCCTATTATTTAAGATTTCTTTAACGTTGTTAATACTTTTTGACTGTACTGGTGTTGCCTTTTTTTGACTGATTTTGACAACTGACATTGACTCATATTTTGGAAACTAATGTCTAATGTCCATTTTATAAATCATTGATAAAACATTCTGGTATATATTAGGGTAATGTTTCTCTAAAATACATGTTGGTCAATTCTTGATTTTATTTTGTATTTTTGTTTGTTTTTGTTAAACCAGAAATGTCAACTATCTTTATCCAATTTTGCTTCTTTTTTGATGTAGTGACTCCTAATTATTGCAGGTAACAGACATCTTACACTTTGTCCATTCACAGAAATACGCAAACATTTATTTTGTCTTTTGCTAAACCGTTCATAGCAAAATATCCTGTGAAAGGGCCCAATTGACGTGGAGATTTGTGAATTCTAGGTTTAGTTGGGAGCATTCATTGATTTTCCCGTTCCACAATTCTGTGTGTTTGAGCTGTCATATTATTTCCTCGCACACATTGACGCTGAAATCTATTTTGTTAAATATCCTCAACCATACCTTAAATGTTGGGCTTTCAGCCTGTGAAGACACGGAAAGAATTGTTTAAACTGACACTGTTAACATACCCAGAATCATTGTGACTATTCTAAAAGTAGTGTATTACTTGTACAAAATCCATCAACTCTCCTTCCTGGCTAATTTTAAAGCAGAACTGTCACTTCCTAAGATGTTTACTATTATGTTCACTAATTTCTATATCTAACAAATTAGTATTTCTGCGGCTCCCCAATGGAAGAGTCTGCCAGCCCCAATGGAAGAGTTTGCCCCTCAATGCAAGAGTCTGCCCCCAATGGAAGAGTCTGCCCCCAATGGAAGAGTTTGCCCCCAATGGAAGAGTTTGCCCGTCAATGCAAGAGTCTGCCCACCCCAATGGAAGAGTCTGCCAGCCCCAATGGAAGAGTTTGCCCCCAATGGAAGAGTTTGCCCCTCAATGTAAGAGTCTGCCCGCCCCAATGTAAGAGTCTACCCACCCCAATGGAAGAGTCTGCCCCCCCAATGGAAGAGTCTACCAGCCCCAATGGAAGAGTCTACCAGCCCCAATGGAAGAGTATACCCCAAATGGAAGAGTCTACCAGCCCCAATGGAAGAGTCTGCCCGCCCCAATGGAAGAGTCTACCCGCCCCAATGGAAGAGTCTACCAGCCCCAATGGAAGAGTATACCCCAAATGGAAGAGTCTACCAGCCCCAATGGAAGAATCTACCAGCCCCAATGGAAGAGTCTGCCCACCTCAATGGAAGAGTCTGCCCCCCAATGGAAGAGTATACCCCAAATGGAAGAGTCTGCCCCACAATGGAAGAGTCCACCAACCCCAATGGAAGAGTCTGCCCACCCCAATGGAAGAGTCTGCCCACCCCAATGAAAGAGTCTGCTCCCCCAATAGAAGAGTATACCCCAATGGAAGAGTCTGCCCCCCAATGGAAGAGTCTGCTCCCCCAATAGAAGAGTATACCCCAATGGAAGAGTCTGCCCCCCAATGGAAGAGCCTCAACCCCCCAATGAAAGAGTCCACCCCCCAAGTGAAAGAGTCTCCCCCCCAAAAAGGAAGAGTCTCCCCCCCCATTGAAAGAATCTGCCCCCCAATTGAAGAGTCTGTCTCCCAATGGAAGAGTCTGCCCCCCCCCCCCAGTCTCCCCAAATCTTCCTCTAAAAAAAGGGAAGGGATTGACTTTGGATGGTTGAAATCTCATAATGCTCTCTGGACCTCAGAAGGACTGCCTATATTTATTAATTTATATAGAATCAACAAGCTGTTACCCTACATGTTATACCCTTCAACATGCTATCTGCTATATCTGTATGTACATACCTTTCAACATTCTATCTGTCTATCTCTGTATGTGCATGAGTATTTTCTTCCTGTAAAGAGAGATGTAATGTTTAAACTTCCTTTTTCTGTGTGAATCCCACCCAGGGGAGTTGTGGCTAGGATTGCATAAACAGAAACAAAAGTGATTTAACTCCTAAATGGCAGAGAATTTAGCAGTGAGCTTTCAGTGGCATGATTGGTACACCAAAACTGCTTTATTAAGCTAAAGTTATTTTGGTACCTGTAGTGTCCTTTTAATGAATCATTGCTCCCAGAACTCACAGCTAGCATGCCTTGCAGCTCAAAAGCCTTATGCTGAGGTGGCATCTCTGGAAGATCCATCTTCCACTTCCAACTATCGTCCCATATCCCTGCTTCCTTTTTCCTTAAAGGGTCTAGAAAGACTTGTCTTTACTCGTATGACTCACTTCCTAAATTCCAACTCCCTCCTCGATCCTCTTCAATCTGGCTTTTGCCCCTCCACTCTACTGGGACTGATCTTATTAAAGTTACAAATGACCTAATCCAAAGGCCACTGCTCCATACTAATTATTTTTGACCTCTCTGCAGCCATTGACACTGTTGATCATGGCCTCCTTCTCCTAACTCTTAAATCTCTTGGTCTCTGTGACACAACCCTCTCATGGTTCTCCTCCTATCTCTCCCAACACTCCTTTAGTGTCTCTTTTTCCAACAGCACCTCCTCTCCTTGTCCTGTGTCAGTAAGAGTCTCTCAAGGTTCAGTTCTTGGTCCCCTTTTGTTCTCTCTCTATATTGCCTCTCTTGGCAAACTCATGAATTCATTTGGATTCCACTGCCACCTGTACGCTGACAACACCCAGATATACCTCTCCTCACCTGACCTCTCCCCTGCTGTCCTACAAGTGTCACCAATTGCCTTTCTTCTATCTCTGATTTGATGTCCTTCCGCTTTCTGAAACTCAATCTATTTAAAACTGAGCTTCTTATTTTTCCTCCTCATAACACTGATCCTCCTTTTTTCACTCTCCCTGCAGGCTGATGGTGCCTGCCTCACCCCATCCTTTCAAGCTCGCTGTCTTGGTGTCACCTTTGATCCTGGCCTCACCTTTGTGCCTCATGTGCAGTCTGTTGCTAAATCCTGTCGATTCCAACTTGAAAATATTGCCTGCATATGCTCCTTTCTTGCGCAAGGTGCTGCCAAGGAGCTTGTTCATGCTCTAGTAATCGCGATTACTGTAATTCTTTCCTAATTATTCTCCCAAGAAGCCGAACTGCCCCCTAAAATCAGTGGTGAATGCTGCTGCCAGGCTGATCTTTCTCTCCTGTTGCTCCTCTCACACTTCACCCCTCTGTCAATCCTTACACTGGCTTCCTTCCCCTACAGGTGTCAATTTAAAATACTAACCCTAACCTATAAAGCGCTAACCAACTCTGACCCCTCTTACATTTCTTCACTGATTCATAGGTATGCCCCCCCTTGGTCTCTCCGCTCTACTGGTGACCTTTTCCTGCCTGCTGCTCGCACCCTTACTGCAAATTCACGTCTGTAAGACCTCTCACAGGCAGCTCCTTTCCTTTGGAACAGCCTGCCTACCCCTGTCAGACACTCCCATAGTCTTCAGTCCTTTAAGAAGTCCCTCAAAGCCCATCTTTTCAGGATTGCTTATGGCCTCCAAGAGTAACTTCTATCTCTCAAACCTTCCTCTCGCTCCCTCCTATAAGGCCACACTCCACTCACACCTCAACTCTGCTACTTTCCCACCATGTCTATTTGCTGTCGCTCTCAATACCCTTTCTATACCCCACCTCAACTAGACTGTAAGCTCATTTGAGCAGGGTCCTCAACTACCTATTGTTCCTGTTACATTTTGTTATTGTCTCATTTGGTAAATTCCCCTTTTATTGTAAAGCGCTACAGAATAAGCTGGCGCTATATAAATACCAATAATAATAATTTTGCCTTTCTGCATAATGCCTTATACTGGATGCCTTTTAGTCCTGATAACTGGGTACTGATGATCAGTCCATATTGTTTTTTACCCGGACTATTCCGTTCCAGTCACCATTCCTCCCAGTTCACATCCCTAATAACATCCTGGGCTGTGGGAACATGTTCTTTAGCTGCATTTTAAAATGTTTGTTGAATTCTATATTTGCAGAAACAATAACTAACTCGTTGTTCTCTGGAGGATCCTCATCACAATCATTTCATTTTTATTTTATTTATTTTCAGATTATTTTCCCATTCTCAGAATTGAAGGTTGATCACAGAATGTATCCATAGGTCCATACAGCTCGCCCTCAGATAATTTGTGTCCAGAAGGCAAGGTATGTAGTAATGTCTGACGGTGTACTGAGCAGCGCTTTACTTGCGGTGGGCCATCAGAGGGCTTACCTCTTCCCGACCAATAGAACTCTTCTTCAAACTGAATCCAGTTAAATCTCATTATGGATGTTTACCTGGGTTCAGTAGGCTCCGAGGTACAAACTAGTTATGTCAGGGTACATTAACAGTCATTTATCACTTTATAATCTTTCTATGTGAACCTTAAAGTCAACACTGTCTTTGACTGATCAGAAAAAAAAGAAAAATTGTATTTACTTTAACAATGTACATTGAGCTTTTGTTCATCGTAAGCTCCGTTACTGACTCTTTGTAAGGCCGTTTGTGTTGGTTTTCTACTGTCATCGGTGCCAGATACAGTTTATCCTCTTATCCACACTGAAATGCTCGCTTAGAGAGGAGGTTCCCGTGTTCTCGCTTCCTCCTTCATCTCTTGACTACAACCACCACCACATTGTTAGACCTCCTGCTGTTCGGTACACTGACATATTTTACTTTAATGCCATATTTTCGTTTTCTGACCTACGGATACTCGTATGGCCCCAATCATGCTTTCAACTAAGAAGTTGTGAGACATTTGCGAATTGCAGTCTTTATATATCTTTTCCTAAATGTTTGTCATATTTTAGATTTATTCATTTGTTGCGTATTTGAATATTTTTAGAATTCATATATATAGCATTTTATTAACGTCCACAAATCTGGTCAAACCTATTTTTTTGATGACATCAGTCCTCCTAAAGTCCCATGCTGATAATCTCAGCCAATCACTGCCGCCCATTCCCTGCTTGAGCATCAGCTGACAATCTCAGCCAACCACTGCCGCCCATTCCCTGCTTGAGCATCAGTTCACTCTCTCAGCCAATCTCTGCTTCCCATTTGTGCTACTTCTGTAAAAGAAGTAGCAGACTGGCTTCCTGGGACACTACATCTGTTTCAAATAAGTTAAACACTAAAAAGAAAGATGTTACCTGGTGAGTCCAGGCACTTCATTGAGATGAAGTGGTTATGGTGTCCAGAGTGTTTCTTTAAACAAAATATTGTATAATCATAATAACTACAAAAAACTGAGCTGGATTCACACCTTTTTAGAAGCATTCTGGACAAGTAACAAACAGGACTGCTGACAGTAACACATTTTCTTGTTAGTGCTTGAATATACAGACGTCATGCAGGCGACTCCCACACAAGATAATCATAAAGTTTTTTTGTGACAAAGTCTGAAATCTTTAGCAATTGCTTCTAGCCTGCAGGATAAATGCAGGTAGTCAACTGCCCCCTGGGCATGCTGGCAGCTCCCATCCACAGAGAAGTTACAACTGTACAAGCTTTGTTAAAACTGATAAATTCCTTCCATCCAGTGTTTCAAGCACTTGTGTTGATGGGGAAAACATCAAAGAATATACCTTTTTCTTTATTAAATCTGTCCTACTTTTTTTCTGGTTCCTCTCCTAGTCTTGTCATGTCTGTCAAGTGTCCTACGTTGTTAATTAGTTCTGTGTAATTAATAGCATGGTGGCATCATAACTCCTCTCCTCACCTTAGTCTGTTTAAAAGTTTGCCCTCAAACAGACAGATGACTCTTTTCAACACTATTGGCCTTAGTCCTGGTGGAATACATTAACTTGCAGGGTAAACAGCCGATAGTTTGGCAGAGCTCTGTAGAGGAGGTAGTGAGCTGTCTTGGCTTCTAGTTTGGCTGTAGAGATCCACTAAAGATCTCATGTCGGTCAAAATATTCTAAAGTTTGCCGTAACCAAGTGCCATTTATCTAGATATGATAAATCTGGCACACTGAAGCTTCAGGATATTTAAGATTGTGTTTCCAGAAATAAATAGAAACTTCTGGACCAAAGTCCTAGAAACTTCTGGACCAAAACCACTTGTGATAAGAATATCAGCACATTGAGTCACTCAGTCATCTATTAAGAGACATACTTCTTGGGCAAAAAATTTGGTTCAGTTTGGCACTTCCGAGATTCGGGACTTCAGCAATTCAGAACTTCGGCAATTCGGTTTGGTTCGGCACTTCCAAAATTCGGCATTTCAGCACTTCGGCAATTCGACACTTCAGCAATTTGGACATTTGGAAACATCCGAATGTACGAATTGCCAAAATTCGGGCGAATTTAAATTCGGACCGAAACAAATTGCACATGTCTAATACTTCCTTTTCTTCATTCCTGAATCAAATCCAGTCTCTTTATGTATCTATAGAATACAATTACTGTATAAAAACTTAACCTCTTAGAGAAATTGACCTTACTTTTTTAATGTTATTGATTATTGGGAATCTAATCCTATTTC